ATCATTTATTTTGAAAATATAAGGAGCAATTTTTTCACCTTGTTCCTTCTTCAAAATACTTCTAATGGTGCTGTAATCCTTGGGCTCTATAGTAGATCTGATGTAAATTAACTTCATATTAACTATTTTTATATAGAGGCAATTCTATATCACCTAAGATAACAAATGGGACATCACATTACAATCATACTAAATTTTGATCTCTGAAATTCTTGGTAATACTAATGTTCACTTTGTCTGGTTTTGTTACAGCATGCCCCATTTATATTATTTTATTGCAGATCTGCATATCAAAATCTCAGGTGGGAGAGGGGAACAAAATCTTCAGTTCCAATTCTAGTGTTCCAGTGAATTCCATACCTTTTGTACATGATTTATTATTTGAATTCTGTATGTTTCATACTGTTTTATAACATATGTATTTAGTACCTTTTAGACAGTTTTTTTTCATAGGGTTGCAACCCAAAAAAATATTGACATCTAATGCTGCAACTGTTGCAACTGCTGTAAGCTGCAACTGTCTGTAATTGTCTGCAACATCTGGTTGGTCGCTACTTCAATCACTATAAAACTAAATTTATTTTTATCAAAAAAATTTTTTTAATTAATGATTTTATTTAAAAACAATAAATCCCATTTTGCGGTTATGTGATTCCATTTTTGATACTAAATCATCATAATTATAGTTGCAGACAGTTGCAGACAGTTGCAGACAGTTGCAGAGGTTGCAGAAAAAGTTGCAACTCAAGCCTTAAAACCCTCAGTTGCAGAAAATGTGAAAACAGTTACAGACACCAACTTTAGTAACAATATACAGTATATATAATGTTACCCACTTGGCCTGATGACAAGAATTGGCCACATTGATCTGGTAGTAAAAAAAAAATAGTATTCATATGCATCCTGACAATGTATTCACCTGTATGACATCATTCATTTGCAAGTTGTTGAGGTAGAGCCATTTTATATTTTTGACCACATTTATGTTGTCATTTGAGTGTTGAATCAGTTGTTAAATCAGCTGGTAAAAATTCACACTCCACATTCAGGTTCAAGATGTAACAAGCATGGCCATTGTAAACACTTGTTCATGATCAACCTTATGTAGCATTTTTTTCCTGGGAAAGTAAACTCAATAACCTCTACTTGTAGGCCAAAAAAAGATACATCAATTTCAATACTGGAGTGGAGGCACATAGTGCCAAATAGTACACTACCTGGTGTTATCCCAAAGCACAACTTTATATAATATATATTTTCTGTATTAATTATACCTTAGAGTATCACTAATAATGTGCTATGTTTTCATGTTCTGGAACAGTTTCTCACATAGTTGGCACTTTTGGGTACTACTACTTCATGTCAAAAAATTTGTTTGCACCTTTGAATACTGAATTAAGGTTTCCAGTCCAAACTGTTTTCTCAAAACCCAAACTAGTTTGGGCAATTTGGGCTTCTCAACATTTTTTATAAACATAAATACTAAAAAGCTATACCAAACAACCTATTTTAACTTAAACAACTTTAAAGTAATTTCACCCAATTTTGGCTAATAACAAAAAATAGTCTGGGCTTATAAAAAAGTAATTTTTGCCCAAAGTGTTTTGAGAAATTCAGCTACTAAGAAAGAGAGTTTCGGCCAGAAACCTTATACTGAATCAAAAATCCTTCTATATCTGAATCATACTTTTTTGTATACTTTCAGATAACACTATTGAAAACTTTGGGATATCATCATTTTTTTAAAAAGGGGATACACCATATACCTAAAATTTCATTCCAATGAAAATTACACAACATAAAAATCCCCTATACGTATGTAAACTCAATAAGTTGGCCATGTTGGGGTGAACCCTGTGATTGATAAAATTGTTTACTGGCTAGATACTCACTCATTAATTCAAACTGGTTGGTATTCCTTTTTCTTTGATTTGCTTCCAAAGTACTTTATTAAGTTTATGGGTTTTTTTTCTTGGATATTTTTTAATCACTCTGTTCTATATTTAATTTGGTCTTCTGATAATCATCAAAATTCTGCATGCTATAATGATGTGCTTTTTAGTATTTTACAATTATTTTGTGATTTTGCATTTATAATTTAATATATCCAAAAGATTCAATGAGAAAAACCAAAGTTAACCTTAATTGAAGGAATGTATTATTCTCCTAGGGAAAAACTAGTATAACAGAAAAAGTAAGAACTTGACTAAGAGTAAGATTGATTGCATAATTATCAGAACTGGCAGTTACTACCATGCTGCTTAGTGTTCCATATCACAACCCAAAAAAGGAAACAAAATGGTTGTAAAGGTGGTTGCAATCATTGTTGTATGATGCAAAGATGGCAGCAACCATCATCAAAAGTTGCAGCTGGTATCCTTAATGCTGCTCCAAAAATAGAAAGGGAAACTAGTGATTATGACAACCCAAAAAATTCAGCAAAGAAGTTGCACTTAATGATGTTAAAATTTTAAAAGAGAGTGGTAGTATCAATTCTCCTGTTTATGAGATCAGCACAAAAAAAATCCTAAACTTATTAAAAGTACTCTTGTATAAAGATTGGAACCACAATTAGTCACAATTCAATTTTCATATGCTGATTCTGCAAATGCAATTCAATTTTAATATGTTGCAATTAGTTGCAACTAGTCACAATTAATCAAGGAGCCATCTTTACTTTTTTTTTCATTAATATTAACAAGTAAAAAAATTGGAAATTTGACAGATCTCAAAATTTATATAGAAGCAGACTCGAAGGAAAGACAGATAACCAAGAGGTAATAAAAATGTACAAGATTTTTGGAGAGAAGTAACTTCATTGTGAAAAAAAATTCATCAGAACCACTAAAAATCATGTAGAATTAGTATTAAAAATAGTAAACTTGAAAAGAATGTTGGTCCTATTGGCTTATATTTTAAAGATGAGCAAGAATTTAAAAAACAATTACAATTAACAAGAGAAAACAGTCCATCATCTGAAACTAAAACTGAAAAAAACCATCAACAAGTCAGAAGAGAAAAAATCAAGCCCTTATCTTAATCTATGCTTTTGAATTGATTACTTGACTTACCTTATATGGAGGATATTGAAATTATAGAGCAAGAAACAATGAAAATAAGTTAGGAAACCACAATTCTCTTATGATGGTATCTAGCAATTTTGATCCCTGAAATTCTCAGTAATACAAATGTTCACTTTTTCTGGTTTTGTTGCAGTATGTCCCATATTATTTATTCCAGAATTGAGAAGAAGGTCTTGCTTGGCTTTAACTCTATGATTTGTTTTGGACTTACATTTCCATTTTGGAGTAATTAAAGGATCTGCAAAGCCAACAAAAATATATAGGACCAAAATTTACAATTGCCGGAATATGGATTTTATATTTAATCATGATTTCTCCCTAATACTAATATACAAAAATTAAATATGGAAACCAAACAGATGTTTTAATACCTTTTCGAGTATGTTTGCTTGTCAAACACAAAGATTTATTGAGAAAAAAAATATAAACAAACCATCAAAATAAACTAAATAATAAACTTTTTTTTTCAATTACACCCCAAAAAAATCTATAAAGCTTTTTTTTTTTCTTTAAAAATAAACGCGACTAAATTATTTATCAATCAATCGATGTTACTTTTTTTTTCTTTCTTCAAAAAAATATATTACTTTTCTCTACGAAAAAAAAAATAATATTTTTATATATATCATATATCAAAGTTGTAAATATCTATCATATTAATAAATATTAATAGGTATTTATTTTTATATGCTACATGTTTTCGTGAACAAAATTTTACAACCTGTCATTTCTAATTCTAATATTATTAACACTAGTTCACAATGAACGTTAACGAAGAAAGTGAAATACAAGAAGTTGTTCGCCTTTTAACCGAACAACCCATCATTGACTATTCCAAAGTTAAAGACATTTATGAGGTAAATAAATGTTTACAATATATAGATGTATACCGAGTTGGAAATTTCATGAAATTTTAAACAGCATGACTCATATAGTTACATGAATGGGAATTTTAATACAATACACATACTTATTTCATATACACCTATATGATGTTCAACAAAATTAGGTTGCCAAAAAATTGAGAGCGCGACTTCGACTTGCGTATACTAAAATAAAATGGGGATTACACAAATGTGATATGGCAACATGCGAAAGAATGGTAGAACAGAAGTTACAAGATTATAAGAATTTCCCTAACAAGAAAAGGGTACACATTCCATTTCACGTTTCTCCTGTACCTCCATCAAAAAATGGGTTCACTGGTGAAAAGGCTAAAGCTGTTTACGAAATACTTGATTCATTGACACATAAACCAAAACCTAATTCAAACAGTAGGGCTAATAATAATAATGACGACGACAACGATGACGATGATGTCTACGATAAGACAAGAAATAGCTATTATATTAAAAGGAAGAAGAATAAGGAATCATTATTAAATTCTTATGATTTCACATCCGCCAATAATATTATTTACATCAATACTCCTCTTTCCATCAGTACTCCACTTTCCACTCGTACTTTTATTTCCACCAGCACTCCTCTTTCCGCCAGTACCATCAACTCTTCTACCAGTTATTCCCAAAGGATTATAAATAATAGTTAATCAATTATTATTATTGTTATTATATATATATTTATTAATTAATTTACACGGATTATTAATTCTTATTGATTATTTATTACAGTACAAAGACAAGAAATGTCAAATTTACAACGCGCAAATTTACTCGGTACAAATTTATTTGATCTAGAAATGAGACATAATTCTGTAGATCCCTATTTAAACCAAATTCAACAGAATTGTGATGGTGCCTACACCACTAATAACAACACTGATCTTAACAGCAACATCAACCTTAGCAACAATAGTATTTATCTTAATAGCTATAATAATGTAAATTTTAATAACACTAATACTAATCTTGATACCAACAACGTCAATATTAGCAATCTTAATCTTAATATCGACAACAACAACATTAGCAATTTTAATCCTAATAGCAGGAACATTTCCTATAATAATTATTATTATGATCCATGGAACTTAAACACTACGAATCTTAGATCGACAGCTTCTCCTTCCCGTAGAAGAAAAGCAGACTGGGATGATGCAAATCTCAAACAAAAAGTTCAAAAATCAAGTCCGTGCAAAGAAAATTTTAATTCGGTGTTGTCATCACCATCCTACAACAAACAAAAAGAGCCAATTCAATGTCCAGGAACTCCACCAAATCAAATTATATCTATCAACGAAACGAAAACACCAGATACTGCTTTCTCATTAAGCGAATATTTGAACATGTCACCAATGTAAATTTTCTCTTATTTCTAATTAATTAATAAAAAATAATTAGTTTTAAAATAACATGTATTATATATAATAAAATTATAATATCTACATTTCTGACATATTGTGTAAACAATTAGTGTGTTACCCAATGTAATGTTGGCAAGAACTTTATAATTATATTAATATATAATATGACAACTCCGACATACATATATATATATATATATTTAAAATATTAAAACTTTTCAATATTTATTAATATATTGATTTTTTTTTTTTTTTTTTGAAATGAAAAAAATTACAAAATTAAAAGCAGAATATTAAAAAAAATAAATTATAATAATATTATTTAAATCTTCACCGATTCTTTGGTTATAACAATAACAGGAACTTCCAATTTCAAAGGTGCCAACATAAATTTATCAAATCTTAACGTCATGATAAATTCATGTTTAATTTCCAAAAACGAAACATTTAAATCAGGTTTCATTAAACTGTTGATTGGAATTTCAAACTTTACATTTACATTGGTGTCAGTAATTGTAGTGATTGCTGTTGTGTTAGTGTTTGGTGGAGAATCATCTTCTATGAGCAATGATGATGATGATAAAGGAATTGTAAGCGGCGGAGCTAAAAGTGGGGTAGTGTGATGAGGACTTGGTATAGCTACATTGGAAAATGCATGTATTTTTGGTGCAGATCTTGTTGTTGTTATCGGTTTTGATTTGACTGGCGTTGTTGGACTATTAAGAAATGAAAAAAAATTTTTGAATTAACAAATATTTAAAAAATAGATAAACACACACACACACATATATATGTTGATATTGATATTGATATATATTGACTCACGGCTTAGAAGTTGCAGAAGAAGAGGAAGCAGAAGAATTGGGTGAATTGGATGAATTGAATTTAGAAAAATTATACATTTCATATTCAAATGCTTCAACTTTAACTTCTTTTACGCCCGCTTTATCTAAAGATTCAAAAGTTGCATCCACCATAACAACTCCACGAGTTTTTTTATTTCCATCAGCATTATTTTTATCACGATTGACAAAATTATTACTATTGTCATCACTAACTTGATCATTGACTGCATCATCATCAATAATCAAATATTTAGTTACTAACACTATATATTTTAATAAGCCTTCACGTTCTCCCTGATAAACAGCTTTTTCATCAACATCGATCTTATTTACATTTATTCCGTCTGAAGAAATAAAATTTCTTCTCAAATAAATATTTTTATTAGTTTTATAAATTGCGTGAGGAGATGCTTTTGTTAATTCAGCGGTCAACACATATCTTATTGCAGCATGCTTAGCCTCAACACTAGCATATAAATTTTGAGGCTGTTTAATGACAATGGTGAAAGGCAATAAATTTTCACCTGTGTTATAAGTTTTTGTTACATTGACAATTGTCTGTTTTTGCTTTATCAAATCTTTTGTTACAAAGTTTCTTGTTGTTGCTTTTTGTGATTGATTAAATTGAGAAAATCCATGAAGCTTTAAAACTACCTGAGTAAGTTTTAATGGCGAAGTCAAGTTTAATTTTATGTTGCCTTTTATTGATAAAGGAGAATTGTTAATTGGAAGATATAAACTTTTGGATCCAAGTAGAATCTCGCACGATTTAATTTCTTTCATTGTTGACATTTTTAATATGTGAAAAATTTTTTTTTTTAAAAAACCCAAAAATTTGAGACATTAATATTTATACGTTAGATTTGTAACACCTTCATATACGCCATTATTTTTTTCATTTTCACTATTACTATTATTATTTCTTTGTTAAAGCATACTTAAGGTTTATCCAACCAAATAAATAAATATTAATTCAAAATGGATAATTGAACAAGACAAGCCGAAACGATCATCCCATAATTAAAAAAAAGACGACGGTCATCGCCTTTTCTTTGTTTAAGCACATAATAAATAAATAAAAAAGGATGGATTTATTCAATTACTGGTTTTTATCATGTGCTTTACGTTTACGCGTATAATAATATATATCAATATTAATATAATAATATAATAATAATAAAATAATGAACCAACCAGAGCTGTCGATGATGCATTTAACAAGCAAGAACTATCTATATTTAAAGAATAATCAAGGGGTTTAAAAATAGAAAAAAGAATCATTATTATTCGTAAAGATCAATCAAATAGCTTTTATTGTTATTCCTTTCTAATCAACAAATAAATGAATAATAAAAAAACCTTTTTTTTCTAAAATTAGATTCCTCTTCTTAAACTGCCTTTTGTATTACATCGATTACAACGATCGATATTCATCGTCGCCTGCTTTTGTTTCACTGACTGACTACTATATCTCTAGCATCACCATCATCGTCATAGAACTACTAGAACTATAAACCAACAATATAAAAGGTTCTGTATTTTGATTGCGCATCCCTTGTACAAAAAATTTGTGTAACAGATATTCATTCGTTCATTCTTCAAAAGATTTTTTCCCTCCATTAGTGATTTACTTTGACTCTTGGAATAAATTTAACGGCAAGCCTCATGATCTGATTGACGAGTCAATAACTTCACGTGGAGTTGATGGTGGGAAAAGACTCTGACGTTTATGTCCAATTAATAACAAACACCTTGCTTATAAAATAATAACCAATGTAGTTAATTTGCAGTGTAAAGTTAATAATTCAATGTTCAACATTCAATCCTGAAGTAATGAATACTCACTTTCGTACGAATGCTTTTCTTTTCACGGAACAGCAAAATCAACTTTTTTGTACCTTTTTATTTATTTATTTAACGAACGTTTGTAAAAAAAGAATAACATCGATCTATACGGGCAAATATATTTCTTTATTAAAAAATAAATATACACCTTATTAAAAGCCAAGAAAAAAATTTGTATTTTTTATGAAAAGAGCTCTTTGATGACTCCACCCTCTTCCAATCCTGGCATTTATGGCATTTACCAACCTGAACGTGCATTTGGTATTAACTTTCTTAATACAATTGTATTTTTATCTTTACAATATCTGTTGTTTTGATATTATTTTTATCTTTAATAATATTATTATCTCTAATAATATTATTATCTTTATAGTTTTTTACATTAACACAATCTTTTGTTGAAGTTTGAAGCCATTTTTTTAAAAAAAAAATGGCGCGATAAAAAATTTTTTTTGGGAGGAAGGGCCAGAAAATAACGTGTTTAGGTATGGGGGTCTCAACATTTGCACGTTACACGGTCTATTACACAAATTTTTTGAGAGGGCCCCTGAATCGAATTCTTTTTTGTAAATGACCATCAAAAATGTGCCGTCAATGCTTAATAATATTTTTTATTCATGTAATTAATTATATACTACACATCTAAACTCGATAAGTCGGACATTTATTTATATTATAAAGTACTTTAAACAATTGATTGCTGCGTCCAACTTATCGAGTTTAGATGTGTGTATTATGTTTCCTGTTGATTTTAACAATTTCTTCATTAAGATTGTAAAACGGTATTAGTACAGCAAGAAAACGGGTTCTTGTTAGTGAATTCAGGGTATCACAAGAGGAGGTGGACGTCCCTTTTGACCCCCCTATTATTTTTCACTTTCCATTTTAGCAAATCACCTTATTATTTTTATTATCTTGGTATTAATATAACGGACTTTTTTTTCTAATGATCCGTTATAATAGTAATGACGTTTTCATTTAAGCTTTTAAATTCATTTGTTATTCAAAGGATTTAATATTGTAAATATCATTTTTACCCTTAAAAGTCTTACACGTAATAATATCATTCTCCACCCTTGGTTTGTCTGGAACCTCAATTAGAAGCTTTCAGGGGCCCATATTAATTTAAATTAAAATTGTCATTTGTTTTTTAGATGCATAAAAATAATAAAATTTCCTTTTCCCCTCACAAAATGAATTCATTACCACCATTACCAAATGAACTCAAATTCATTAGTCCTTATCTTCAACGAGCACAAGAATTACAACAAAGAGAGCCAATAATAGCTTATTATTGTAAGAAGGCTATTTTGTTACTGTTGGATTCAAACGAGCTAACAACAACCAATTTCTTATTAAAAGATTTATTTGTATAGGCAATTATTACGCAGCAAAATTAGCCATTGAAAAAGGAACAAAAGAAAAAGGAGAAAGTCAAAATTTTCTTTTTAAACTATTAGATGTTCTTGAAAAGGTATTGATTTATCCAATTGCAAAACATTGATAATTTTTATTGCTACATATATCCCATATATCCATCAATTTACTTGCCTATTTATTCATAGGAAAAGAAAAAGTTTTCAAATAATGAGGCAGTTACAAATGATATCGTCGGTGAAGCATTCGTAGAAAATTTTGCCATAAAAATTTTCCTAAATGCTGATAACATTGATAGGGCTGGGAAGGCCACAAAGTATAAATGAGTACAATGGTTTTTTTATATACAATAATAAAAAATTTTCTAATTTTTAAAGAATAATAATCGAAAACACATACATACGTATAATTATTCTATAGGCAAACAGCAATGACTTTTTTGGCATCATCTATATTCTTGGAGCTACTAAAGATATTTGGTGAATTAAGTCCTGAGGTATGTACATCAGCATATATATATTTTGTAATCTTATCTATGTTTAAAAAATTGTTGATCATAATAATTTGATATTTTATGAATATATCATCTCAATTGAATAATATAATTTAAAGGTCGAAAATAAAATTAAATATGCGAAATGGAAGGCTGCCCATATTATTAAGGCATTGAGGGATGGTCAAAGACCAATTGCTGGTCCTCCTGGAGGTGATCCTACATCACAAGAACCAACTTACGTTGATAATGTTAATACTAATGCAGGTCAACAAGCACCTGACAATAATAAAGATGATATTAATAATAATATTGGTTTTGTCCCTGGAATTGATCAATTTCCTTCAGCACCATTATCAAATGTTTCAATAACCGGACCTCCTTTACCACCCAAATCAAATGGTGAATTTAACAAAATTAATCTTAATAGTAATAATAATAACAACAGTAATAATGATAATAATAATAATAACGAATTACTTACATCCAATATGTCATTTGATAAGTTTAATAACCAACAGCCAATTATACAATCGGATTTTTCTGAACAACTTAATTCAAATGTACCTGCATTTTATGAACAAAATCCACAATATCATCATAACAATCAGCATCAGCAACAGCAACAGCAACAGCAACAACAGCAACAACAGCAACAACAGCCACAGCTTCATCAAACGTCACCATCACTACCGCAATCTAATGCAAACGGCTACAACAATGACTTGTTCTACCAACAACCTGTTGTTTCCAACCTTTCTCATATTCCACAACAAACATCTCAACAATCGCAAACATTTCAAGCAATTCAACCTTTTAATTATATTCAATCAATAACACCAACACAAACGGCTCCATCCTCAATACAACCACACTCACAATTACCACAACAACAAAGAACACCAAATGCAACTACTTCAACCGGTCAGCAACAACAGCCAACAAGATCAACTCTAAACTTAAAATCAAATAGTCATTGTGAAATAGATCCAAACACAGTTGCAACTGCTCAAAAATATTGTAAATGGGCAGTGAGTGCTTTAAATTATAATGATGTTAAAACTGCTATAGAAAATATAGACAAGGCTAAAGCATTACTAGAATCTTATAATAACTAAATAAATAAAGGTTTGTAAATATTGGGAGACAATATGGTCAAAGACAATTAATTGTTGACTTTAAGATTGTTAAAAGAAATCATCATGTAAACCTTTTATTATGGAGGAAAAAAAATTTATTAAAAGAAATTTGGCGAATAAATATTTATTTCATCATATGTAATTAACATTTCCAAAAACGAAAACTAAATTAATTAAATATTATACAATTAAGGTGAATGAACGTTAGGTGAAAAGAAGGTCATAAGAATTAATTAAATGATTGCTGTCATTATTGTTATTATATTACTACTGCTACCATTATTTATTATTACTGTTGTTGCCTTTATTTTCATCAATTTAAAAACTTTGATGTGATTCAATTTCTTGATAAAACGATTCCCATAATTTGATTATCTATAAACAATTAAGATTATAAATCGTGAAAATTTGAAAAATTGAAATTATTAAAGTTCAATAAATTAACTTACCTCATTTTTAGTTTTTATAATAGAATCTAAAAATGACTCGATACTATTTTTAAAATCTTCGACTTTTTCTTTATCAAATCTGTCCAATTCTGCCTTAATCAATTTCGTAACATCTTCAAATTCATGTCTACAATCTTCAACTTTGTTTTCACCCTAAAATGACAATCGTTTATATTTAGTTTGAAAACTTATCTTGAGGTTTAGCAGCAGCATAATAATAATAACCTCCGCAATTATAGCCAACATGTATGAAAGTCTTTCTTGACTTAATCTGTTTTGTGATTTTGATCTTTCATAATTTAATTTTTTTTTTTGCAAATCATTCATAGCGCTTTGCCAATTTTGATAAACTTTAGTCCTTGAATTTAAAGCCACCTAATTTTCAAAAAAATTTTATTGTTTAAAAAATCAATAAAAATTTTTTATCAGTATTATTGGCATTATTACTAACTTTAATTGATCCAATGATGCGAATATATTCTTCAATAGTATTTTCCAATGTTAAAACATCTTGACGTGCCTAAAAATCAATATAATATATATATATATATATAAATGTATATATGTGCGCATATAATTTAAATAAAATCAGTTGACCTGTTTTATGTGTAATTCTCTAATTTTTTGTTGCAATTTCCCTAAAGTTGATAAATTGTTTGCTAATGGTTTATTAACTTCAACATCAGATAATGCAAACAAACTATCACCAAATTCAATTGCTGAACCTCCAAGGTCTATTAAAACATTGTATTAAAATCAGTCGATTAGGACTTTTAAGATTAAATAACTTTTGCTTGATAAAAATAAAAAGATTACAAATATAACAATAATAATAAACACCCTTCTGCTGTCTAACAACCAACTCGACAGATTTAAGCAGTGTTTTCAATTGTGATTCGAGTATATCTAATTGGTTTTTACGGCCTTCAAACCACTAAATTAAAAGTTTTTTTACATTGTAACCAGTCTTTTTTTTTCTTCTCATAAGTACAAAAACTAACATAATTATGAGTTGTGAAGTTAGTTTACTCACATCATCCATTTCAGTAAACTTATTAAATGCGGTAACATTAGAAACAGCTTCACCCAATGATTTTAAAACACCCTTGGGTTCTTCATTTCTCCTTACCTAAATAAAAACATATATGCATTTATATATAAGTCAATTCTGTTATGGTTAAAAAATATTCATTATGAATGATCTCTTAAATACTACATCAATGTTAAAATTATCAGATTCTAAGAATATTTTCAAATCTCGATCTTTGCATAAATTTGGATGTGAAATAATTTTATTCAAACATTTTTCAAGCGCCTGACGACGGTTTTCTATGAATTCATCCTGAAAACGTCCTAACTCCAAAAATATATAAATTAATTTATAAAGCTATTAATTTAAATTAATAACTCATTAATTTACCCATAGCGTGCTTTTCTGGAAGTGGGGGAACAATTACACCTGGATTCCCAAGTGTAAGCTGATTATACAACCATAAGAAATCACGATATCTTCTCAAAACCGTAAAATCGTTGCTTTTAAAATCTTTTGATGATGTCTAAAACAAATAAAAAAAAATCATCAATTTAATTTGAAAAAAAATATATTTATGTTTTTTTAAATTTGAAATCAAAACATGCCTTAGTTCTAACTTTATATACAATGCGAGCATTAATTGGATCACCAATCTTTTGAGGATCTTCCACTGAAATCTCAAATATAGGATTCAGCCCATTTTCTGAACCATCAAATTGATTATACTATGAGAAGTAAATAATAATAATATGTTAATAAATTAAATAATAATAATACCAAAAAATTAAAAATTATGTGATCAATTACATGATTAGAAATAATGTCTTCATTATCATTCTGTTCCTGGATGCTACTACTATTACTAATATTGTTATTATTATTATCATCATAATTTTCATCAACCAATTCTTCATAATTGTTAGTTTCTTCATGTGTTTGACTCTCAATAGAAAATGAAGCGATGCCATCAAGATCTTTAGTCGATGAAACATCTATATTTTCAAATTCTCTTTCGTCGTCGTCATCATAATTATCATGATAATTATTAAAAATTTCCTCATCAGATAGTTTGGTTTCAGAAATGGCCGAACTCAACATACTTTCTAAAGGATCTGAAAGATCATTTGCAAAAACATTGTTTATAGAACTGCTATATTCACTCATGAAGTCAGTTTCTTCATTTATTTTTTCTGGTACAATTAATGAGGAGATGGTATCATGAAAAGGGTTTGAAACATCAACATCACTTAAAGTGTCTGATATGGAGTTGATTGTGGGTTTATGAAGCAAATCTTCAAAAGTATTTTCGAATTCGTTTGTAGACGACATTTTAAGGATACGTACACACAAATTTGATGTAATTATGCGGTATATAGATCATTTTCAAATTCGTGGGTGGGGCTTTCTAATTCACATGACAGATTAACATTGCAGATCAAGCGTCATTTCCGAAATTTTTTGGTGATCAACGTCGAAATTCTATTAATAAAATTAGTCACAAACCTTAATTTTAACCCTTCTTTTAGAAAAAAAAATATTGGTGTTAAAGTTTATCAACCAAATTACCGCATTTGGAAATTAATTGGTCATTATCAGTGTATAAAATTCAATGTGCGGAATGTGCGGGTGTAACATCGTACATTAGCAGTTTTCTGCAGATAGTTTCTAAATTTGTAGAAATCTGCATTAGTTACACACGAATTTATATATCACATTTTTTCCTTTTTGTGCTTTTTGTGTATTGACATAAATAAATTGTTTTTTGGGGTTTTTGCCATTTTCACCAAACTTTAATAAACAACAATCCACATAAAGTTATACCTATATGAAAACTTACATATTTTACATCTTTTCAACCACTCACCAAGTTTATAAAGGTAATATTGGTAAAAAATCTTAGCTTTGAAGTAAAAGGTAATGTTGTTTTGAATAAATATAGCTTGACATAGAGAGACTCTATCAATATGTGAGAGGTCTCGTTAGAAAGCCATAATGCCATAGTTTTATTTTTGATTAATAATGATGTTTGAATTTGTTATAAAAATAATGAGATATTTTAAAAAAATGATTTGTTACACGAGTCTGGGATTCTATTTTATATACAGTCAGACCTCCATAAATGCGCCCCCTTGGGACCAAAGGACAGCATGCATTTATGGAGGGTGTTTTCATATGGGTGGACTGAAAAAAATACCGTGCAGTGCAGAGTATAGAGGGTGTGCATTTATGGAAGGTGCATTTATAGAGGTCTGACTGTATGTGCGATTTCGTGATTCGTTCAAAAATGCAATAACAGTCAAACGATATGTCACGGGAGGTGAGCGAGTGGCACAGCAATAGGAGTCTTTATACCGAGCCAACCATAATAATATTATTATAGAAATGATCAATGTCTCTTCCTTCATTTTGAAATACCACAGTAATATGTTTTTTGGAATTTATTTCAAATATTCATGAAATATATCTATATACACATATATACATACAGCATTAAAATATTTCAAACCATGATGATACAATTATAAAAGTCGATTAAGTAAAATTTAAGTTGTATTTCATCATTATGGTTAATGGTTAAAAAAGAATTTAAACATAAATAAATAAATTGTAATTAAATTATTATTATTATTATTACTATTATTATGATCATGATTTTGTCAAAAAAGAAAGATCATAATATTAAAGAAATTCGTTAACGTTATTCGTGATTATCGATCTAAACAACAATAATAAATCATTTTAATAATTAATGATAAACTTTTATAATTGGGGAGAAAATAAGGCTTTGTTTCAACTTACCAATTTCACCAAAGACTACATCCATAGTGCCGATAACTATATATATAATTAAAATTCATAAGTGTCAACTTCACCATAGTAATTAAAAGACGGATAAAATTTAAATATAATTAACATACTTGCTACCATGTCAGCAATAAAATGATCAGTACTCATGAAGTTTGAACCAGCCAAATGTGCAAAACCTGGTGCGCGTATTTTACACCTATATGGACGATTGGTGCCTTTTGTAAAAATTTAAATCAGCGAGTATATTGAGTATATTTTATAAATAACTGGTTTAAAAAAAAAAAAAAGAAAAAAAAAGAAATATTAAAAGATTTAATTATTTAATTACCATCTGAAACTAAATAAACACCAAATTCCCCTAGGTACCAAATATTATGGATGGAAAATCATTGTATAAACAAAGAATGTTTAGTAATTTAATAGTCAGTTGGCAATGAATGGAATAGTTAAACAGCGATATACCTTTGGGTGCTTCAATTGCAGTATAAGTTTCTCCGGGTGGAACAGTAAAACCTTCAGAAAATAACTTGAAATGATGAATTAATGCCTCCATAGACTCTTTCATGGACGATCTATTAGGAGGAACTATTTTCCAATCATCGGTTTTAACAGCTCCGGTTGGCATTTTGTTCAAGCATTGATGAATAATCCTTAGACTTTGTCGCATTTCTTCGACACGACAAAGAAAACGATCGTAACAGTCACCTTTTGTACCAACTGGGACATCAAATTCAACTTTATCATATGCGTCATATGGTTGAACTTTACGTATGTCCCAATTGATACCTGAGCCACGTAACATCACACCAGAAAAACTATAATCCAGTGCTTGCTGTGCAGTGACTAAACCAACATCCATAGTCCTATTTTTCCATATACGATTTGCTGATAAAACCTCTTCAACTTCATCTACGCGAGCACCGAATTGTGTTGCCCATTGATATATATCTTCCATCAAACCTAATGGCATATCCTGAGACACTCCGCCTGGTCGTACATATGCTGCGTGCATTCGAGCTCCCGATACACGTTCATAATATTCCATTAACTAAAAATTATAAATTCTATTAGTCTTTTTTATTTGTATATGTGTGTGTGTATATATATATATATATAAATAAAATATATCGAATGTAAAAGGCACTAATCACTGCAAATAAAATAAAATAAAAATATTTATTGGAACCTTTTCTCTTTCCTCAAACATCCATAAGAAAGGTGTCAATGCACCGATATCTATAATTAAATTTAATAAATATATTTTTTTATTGAAAAAAAAATAAAAATAAAATTTTTGTTGCTTTTATAATCACCAAGTGCGTGAGACATTGTTGCCATAATATGATTTAATACTCTTGTAATTTCTCCAAACAATGTACGAATAAATTTTGCACGTTCGGGAATTTCAATATTCAACAATTTCTCAACAGCTAATGAATAACATTGCTCATTTGTCATCATTGAAACATAATCTAAACGATCAAAATATGGGAGTGCCTGTAAATAAGTTTTATATTCTATAAGTTTTTCTGTTCCTCTATGTAAAAGGCCAATATGCGGATCTGCTCTTTTTATCACTTCACCATCTAATTCCAAAATCAATCGAAGAACTCCATGAGCAGCTGGATGTTGCGGTCCAAAATTTATTGTGTATGTACTCTTTGAAGATTCTTGTGGATCTTTGGTAGCTGATTATTTTTTCGTTAAGTATTGTTAAAGAAAATGAAAATATACAACCATACCAGATGAAATTATTCATGCTTACTTAACAATTCTTGGAATTCTCCCGATATTGTTTCTACATGTGTAATTAATTTAATTTGTGAAAAAAATCATTAATATAATCGATAGAAATAGTCATATATTAAATAAATATCGAAGAATGGCTTTACTTTCAAGGCCTTCTTCGATTGATAATTTTGGTAAATCATCTGTGACCAAGTGAGTAGCTCTGACAGAGTATGAATCATGTCCTTTAGTTTCTGTAGTTATGGCTTTTAATAATAACTTATTATTTGATAATAACGGGTTTTGTTTAAATATATAAGGTTTCGCGATTCTAGGGAGTAAAAGTTGGCTGGATCTACAAAATTTTGAAGTGTTTCTGAGGAAAAACATTTTCGTTATGATTAATAAAAAAAGCTTTGGGTCTGCAAAATTTTTGTTTGAATGTTGATCATTAACGAAATAGAAAAAAAAATTTTTAAAAAAAAATTTTTCTTTTAATGGCTTCTTACGATCTTATACCTCGAATGATTCCTTATTTGGATAGACACCTTGTCTTTCCATTATTAGAATTTTTGTCTATGAATGAGGTTTTTATTATCGTTTTTAAAAAAATCAAATTATTGTTGACAATTACTCATGGGAAAGCCTTTTTTTTCAGATTTATCCTAGAGAAGATTTATTAAAAGCTAAATATGAACTCTTGGCTAAGACCAATATGGTTGATTTTACCTCAGGACTTTATATGGAAATCCATCAAGTAGAATCAGCTCCTGAGGGTAAACAATTAACTTAATTATTGTCACAATAAATAATCAACATAAAGCACTGTTAGATCAAACACAATGACGATAAATACTTTTGTTTTATTCATTTATTTTTAAAGAATTTTCTATAAAAAGAGAAGGTGTTCTTCAAACACTTGTAAATCTTCAAATAGAGGCACAAAAGGTATTGGATATAATAGAAAACCCAGAAGTAATTGAGGCTCTTCGTCAAGACATATCACAAAATCTAACCTTTCTTAAAGATAATTATGAGGTAATAAAGAAACACAGCTTTGATTCTATTATTGTCATTAACTAACTTGTATAATTTATGTATTGATGATAATTTTGTTAGCTTACAGATGAAATGGTTAATACTTTGTATCAGTTTGGTCAATTTCAATATAATTGTGGCAATTATGGTGGTGCTTCCGATATGTTGTATCATTTTCGAGTGTTGGTTTGTGGCGCTTTTCTTCAATTTAAATTAAGAACTTATGCATGTAATAGTTAATTAATTAAAATGACCTTGGACTAATATCTATGCATATAGTCAACAAACAATGAACTCAATCTCTCTGCATTATGGGGAAAGCTTGCTTCCGACATTTTGGATTTAAATTGGGATTCTGCTTTAGAAGACGTTCAACAATTAAGAGAGACATTTGACCAAAAGGTAATAATAGTAATAATAATAAAACCATAATTTTAACGATTTTAATGAGTTGTTGATCTAATTAAATTTCTAATTCAATTAAATTAAATTCAACCCAATCCCTATTATTTGTTCATATAGTTTTTTACATCACCTCTTCATCAATTACAGCAAAGAACTTGGTTTATTCATTGGTCAATATTTGTATTTTTTAATCATCCTAAAGGTCGTGATAATATAATAGATTTATTCTTTAATCCGTCTTACATCAACACTATTCAGACTTCATGTCCGTGGATTCTCCGATATTTAACGACAGCTGTAGTTACTAATAAACGTCGAAAAAATAATTTAAAAGATTTGGTCAAGATTATTCAGCAAGAAAGTTATGAATATAAAGATCCTATTACTGAGTTCATTGAGAGCCTTTACGTAAATTTTGATTTTGAAGGTGCTCAACATAAATTAAAGGAATGTGAAGAGGTACTTTCAAATGATTTTTTTTTGGTGGCAACAAAGATGGAGTTTATAGAAAATGCTCGTTACCTTATCTCTGAAACATATTGTAGAATACATTTAAAGATTGATTTTGCGTAAGTTATTATAAATAAAAATTTTTTTTTTTATGTGTAAGAATTTACTTATTTAAACAATAATTTTTTTATTAAAATACAATTTACGATGATGATAATAATAATTCAGCGGTTTAACAAAAACACTTAATTTAAATCAAGACGAAGGTGAAAAATGGATCGTAAATTTAATTAGAGATACACGAGTTGATGCAAAAATGGATTTTAAAGAGGTGAAGAAGAATTAATTTAATTATAAATGTGTTATTTGTTAAAAATCGATATTGGAATTAATAATATAAATAATAATTAACAAATTTTTATTCTTGTAAAAAGAATACCGTTATCATGAATCAAAATCATACATCTATTTATCAACAAATTATTGAGCGAACAAAACTTTTAACATTTCGTTCTCAATTTTTGGTCTCTGCTATTGATAAACGTCAGCAGCAGCAGCAACAACAACAACAACAACAACAACATCAGCAGCAACAACAGCAGCAACAGCAACAACATCATCAGCAACAACAACAAAATAATATTGTTGAAACTGTCATAGAATAGTGAGATATATGTAAATATTATATAAAAATATATATATAAATTCTAATTTTTATAATATTATTATTTATTAATGTAATTAAATATATCTAGCTAATCTTTTACATTATTTGCTAAAGAACTAAATCATATAAAATTATTGTTATTATTATTTTTTATTTGATTTTTTTTTTGAACCAAGTGATTCTATGAAATTATCCAAATTAAGATCTTCATATTGAGAATCGTCCCACAAATTGTCTAACCCTTCTAAAATGTTCTTTGTAGATAATTTTTTATGCTTTGAAACTATATCACTACTGCTGCTACCACCATCGCCACCACTAGAACCACCTTTTCGATTATCTAATGTTACATTGAATAAATCAAGTATTTGATCAGTGTCCATGCTTTGTAAACCAGAGTTTTGTTGGTTTACAACAGAATTTGCGATATTTAATTTGAACTTTTGTAATCTATAAATAAAATATAATAAAGTCATAAGTATGCAAAATTATAACCGTATAAAATAAAAATCAAATTCATACCCCATGATCTTTTCTTCTAATGTTCCTTTTGTAATTAAACGATAAACATTCACTACTTTCTTTTGTCCAATACGATGTGCACGATCCATAGCTTGTAAATCTTTCATTGGATTCCAATCATGTTCAACAAAGATAACAGTATCTGCACCTGTAAGATTAAGACCAAGTCCACCTACGTGTGTAGTTAACAACAATACGTCAATTGACGGATCTTTGTTGAATTGTTGTACGATCGCATGGCGTTTGTTAGTATCAATGGAACCATCAAGCCGCATGAATGTTACTGATGGCATTAACGGTTTGAAAAGATCATTTTCAATAATATCTAACATAGTTTTCAATTGACAAAATATTAATGCACGATGTTGGCTAACTGCACCAGCTCCGAGTGTATTCTCTTCGGTATCATTATTAACTCCAATACCGCAATCAAGCAAAAGTTGTCTAATTATTATTATTAAATTAAAAAAATAAAAAAATAGATGATAGTATTAATTTTAAAAAATTTTTTTATTAAAAAAAAGTTCAATAAATAAATTAAATACTTTAACGCAAGAAGCTTGGGCGCGTTTTCTAAATCACGTAAGGATGATCGAGTATTTTTCAAACGATCCATAACTTTATTGTATTGAGGATGTTTTTCATTCATAACCAATAAAGGATGATTACACAATTTACGAAGGTATTGCAAAGCTTGAAATATATGTGTAGTCTTCTTTACACCGACGCCTTCTTCATTAGCATCTTCCATGTTCGTATCCGTAGGACCTTTTGTTTGTGATTTAGCAAATTCTTCGTAAAGTTGTTTCTAATCAGAAATTGCAAAAGAGGGATGAAACATTTGAATTTAGTAAAAATTTAGTTAAAAAAAAGAATCATTTTTTGAAAGATTTCCTGGATGTGTGATAACAAATACAAACCTGTAGATCGCTGAGTTCACAATAATAATCTTGAATGATCTTGGGTGGTAGATCATTCAATACATCTTCTTTAAGACGACGTAATAAAAATGGCAATACTTGTTTGTGTAGAGCTTCTAATGCAAGAGCACCGGCTTCTTGCTCTTTCGATGAGCTTTTGCTATCTCTACTTGATAAAATAGGTTTACCAAATCTATCATTAAATTGTTTTTCAGTTCCCAAAAAACCTGGCATCAAAAAATCAAAAAGTGACCATAATTCTAATACATTATTCTTTTTTAAAAAATAAAAAATAAAAAAAATAAATATATCAACTTATTTCCTCAACAATATACACGCATGTAATTTTTGAATAAAACCCCAAACCTGAATTGGAGTACCAGATAAAATTAATCGATGATTTGCTTTTATGGTTTTAACTGCTTTAGTTATTTTTGTCTTTCCATTTTTGATCACATGTCCTTCATCTAAAATACAATAATTCCAATCTATTTGTGATAATTCATCAAGATCATTACGCAAAATATCATAGGACATGATCACTACATCGTGACAAAAGATTTTTGGTCTTAATCTAATCATTAAAAAAAGGAGAGAGATTATTAATCAGTAAGGTACTTATTCATTATTATTATGAGATTTATTAATCTATTACATATTGCTCGCTGTACCTTTCGCGATCTTTAGGGTTACCAGTGTAAGTTAATGGTTTCAAATCATCAGTGTAATTTATGATCTCGTGATACCAATGACCTGTTAATGTTGGAGGACAAACTACCAATGAAGGACAATCTAAAGATTCTGTGGCGTTATGTTTTTGAAGACGGGCATAGTGATCACTAGCCAATATACAAATAGATTGTAAAGTTTTTCCTAATCCCATATCTAATAAATTTATTTATTAAATAATTAGTATTGGTTTTTAAACGACCAAAAAAATGATTGATTTATTAATAATATGCATACCATCACATAATATACCATGTAATTGATATCTGTTTAGGAAAGCCAGCCAATTGACACCTTCTTGTTGATATTTCCTTAATTCTGCTTTTATTTTTACCGGAATTTCATAAGGATCCAATTTATTGCTATCAAGAAGCTGTCCAAGAAATTTACGTTCATGCTCACGATATTGTAAAAATTCTTTAGATAGTCCTGGGGGGTCAGGTATACCAGCCTTTATTATTAATAATTTTGGATAGTGGGAAAAAATAAAATTCAGTTAAATATAAAATTATGTACTTGTGCAGCGTTATTATTTTATAAAATTTCTACTTACTTCTAATGGTACTAATTTGATCAACATTGCAAAAGTATTGGTACTCACAAGACGAATATTTTCATCAGCGTCACTCATTCTACCCAATATTGGAACAATCAAAAAAATAACATAAGGAAGTATTTTTGCATCCATAGTTTGAACAACATCTATTGTATATATTTTTAAAAATATTAATAATTATTATAATTATACTATATAATAATTAAAATAGATAGTAAAACATACGATAAACAAGTTCAACGGCTCCTTGTCTATAAATCAAATTTTTAGAATCTCCTAATAAAGGCATTACTTGATCAATTATTAACTTCATACATGGCATTGTAATTACATTTGCAATTGAAGCAAAACATCTCGCTGCCATTGAACGTATTACTTGATATTGACATTTGGCAGTTTTAATAATAAAAGGAAGTAATTCCGTTATCTAGATATAACAATTTATTAATTTTTTAAACAAATGATATTGGTAATTTGATCTAAATTAATTAATTATAATATAAATATGATTACAGAATTTTATAATTTTGTATATGCACCTTATTATGTAACGATTCACTAATTGCTGGGACTAATGATTGAATTAATTGAAGAGAATCGATTATATCTTTTCCAACATTTTGTGAAATCATTGCATCAATTGTTTCATCATCATCTATATTACATTGTCATCAAAATATATTAGTTAATAAATTCTCATTATTCTTTTTTTTTAAAAAAAAAGAGAAAGCCACATACCATTATTTAATACGCTATTTAAACTATTATGCATGCAATGCCATAATTTTGGTACTATTTCAAATAACTTTGATCCAAACTGTGAAGCAAATTCTTTCAATGCAGTTTCAGCGCCACGTCTTATCAATTTCTGCGATTTAATTTTATCATCATCAGTTAAATTAAAATCTCCATTAGATGACGACGTTGATGATGTGGTGTTTTTATCAGATTCTTTTGCTTTTTGCAAAGAAAGTATGCCTTCCCTTTTATTATTATTTTGTTGAAATTCGGGTGTTACAGTAGTGTCGGAACAAAGGAATGTACAAAGGTTCTTTACAATCTTATCGTTTGGATTAATTCTAGTACCACTTTGATTCGATGAACAAAGGAAGACAAGATTAGCCAATGTAGCTGCTGATCTTTGTTGTAGTTCGATGTTTTCTTCCTTTTTTATTGAATTCATAATTGATCTGATAATAGGATTTAGTTTAGGTGGTAGGGCTTGTAAAGCCACGACAGCACTAGCAATTGCTGCATAAACAATTGTATCATTTTTTAGTTTTGTAGACTCGTAGGAACTTATGGAATTCAAAACACGTCTATGCCGATCTTGCAGTTGAGTTTGATATTCTTCCTGTTGATTACTGTCGAGTATTTGAAGTGACAAATTATCATAAGTAGTAGTGGCAATTTCTGTAGCCATTTGAATATTAAATAAAGGAGTTGAATTTTCTTGTTGGGAGGCTACTACTATTTCACCAAGAACACAGGTAGGTAAAGCGGGTATATTTGAAGAATTGACTTTTCCAACTGTAACAAATGTATTAAGCAATGCTTGACATTCGCCGCGTATTCTACGTAAAATTGTAGTAAGTTCGGAATAGAAAGTTGGAGCGTCGGACTCAAGCATGGATATCATAAAAGTGGATATGTTGGATGCAAATGGTGATGTGTTGACTAGATCGAGGGTATTGTTTCCGTGATTTTCTATTAATGATCTTGCCCATTCTTCGACTACGATAGCAGATAGTTGTTTATTTGAAGCACACGAGGATGAGAGACGTGATACAATTTTATCTTTAAATGATGTATCCAAATACTAATAGTAATAATAATAATAATCATAATAATAAAACTGTTAATTTTTTTAACCTTTAAAAAATTTTTTTTAATTTAAAACAAATTAATAAATCACCTCTAGTGGCCATCGACTCATTAACATTCCTAAACCTTTAGATGCAATAACTCTGCCTCTTAGCACAGTATCTACACTAACAAGAGCAAAATCTTGTTGTAACATTCCAGCATCAATATTATATCCGATCGAATCTGAATTATTACCATTAGTGTTTTGGGATCGATTTTGACCACGGAATCTTGAATTTGTTGATGATGACGATGACGTAGATGCTGTAGTAGAGGCAGGAGTTATTTCCATAGGTATTACTCCTTCAGTTATAAAAAATAATCTATTATCTATTGGAGTGCCCAATGGTGTCATAACAATTCCAAACCATGTTGCTATATGTTGAGAGGTTAGTTGAATTATTTTGTTTTCTTGACTTGATTTTGTTGTATGAGATAATATTTTCGACCAAACTTCAAGCGATAAATCAAGAATATCCTTTCAAAATAAAAAATATAATTTAGATTATAATTATTTTTTTTAATTAATATATATATATATAAAAGCCAGCAAACCTTTTTTTCTTCGACTATCATATTTTGGAATACAAGTCTCATGACACGATTGTCAACCCATTCTTCCGCCTCATCCATACTCAAAAATGTCAAAAGAGTATTTAGAACTGCAGAACGCACTGAAGTAATTGTGTGACGAAAGAATGGATACAGTCGTGGAATTAAGGTTGATAAAGAGTGACTAAAAAAACAAACAAAAAAATAAATTTTCTTTTCTTTTAAAACAATTATTATTGTGATAATGAAATATTACTTTATATTTGAAGTAGATGCTATTTTCATGTAATCCAATACAACAGGAAATGAAAATAATTTTGCTAAATAATTAATTAACACAAATAATTATTGTTAATTAATGAATAACATGATTAATCATACTCTAAGATGAATCAAAAGATATTTACCTAATAAATCCATTACACTTGCTGTTGATGCAGTCAAGTCATCTTTCAGATCTTTTAAACAATCCCATAATACAGTTACAAGTTCCGGTATTTTATTTGAAGAATTAGTAACAAAATAATCGGCTATAGGGACCAAAATAGATGCAGCAACAGCTCTAACATCATCATCACTATCCTTGAGGCTATATAAATTATTTATCATCTCATTAGAAAGAAAATTTAAAGCTCAACGAATATATATATAATAAAATTCATTATAAATAAATACCCCAAGACTACAGCATCAACAGCACCCTCTAACATCATTTCAACCAAATCTCTTCTAACAGCTACAGCGTATTTTAATCCCAACATTCCAGCATGACGCACTTCCCATATTGAAAGCTTTTCACCAATAAAATCTCTTTGATATATCATTCTCATTAATATTTTGTATACATTTTCTACACTTTGAGAAGTCATGTATTGAATAAGCGCTCCCAGTGTTTGTGAACAAGTTTCACGTACAGGTGCAACGACCTTTCGATTTTTTTTATTTTGAAGGAGGGAAGGGAAGAAAATTTTAATGCTTCATTTCCTTTCATTTTATTTCATCACCATCTTATTAAGAATAATATCATTAATATTACCTGATCTGAAACAAAATCACCAAACCTATCAAGAGCAAAAACACATAATAATCTGATTGCTACATCGTCTAACCATTTGTTATGACGTATTTCATTTTCTTGTTGGGTTAATCCCGCTATGTAATTTTATTAATATGCGTTTTTCCATCAGTTAAATTTTTGAAAAAATTGAAAAATTTATATATATTGTGTGACAATTTACCTATACGGCCTGCACCATTTCCATGAACTTTAAGAATCTCCCTTAATCCAATTCCAGCACCATGTCTAACTTCCCAACATGGACTTTTTTAAAAAAAAATTTCGAAAGTTTATATGCACATTCACACACACACACACATATATAAATATAATATCAAAACATAGTAAAGACATACTCAAATAAAGCCAGGCTTAATGATTCACAGACTTTTTCAAATGGCCATTCATTTAATTGATCATCATAATTATACATAGAAGGATCTTTTTTAGATTCGACTACAATTTTACCAGAACAAGGTTGTGGTGTAAAATCAAATTGGCTATCGGATTTTATTGAATCTGTAAAATAATTAATTAATAATTAATTAATATCTATTGATGTAATTATTATATAACTAAATATTTATATATTATAACCAATCATTACCCTCTACTTTTATTGCAGAAGGTTTATTTTTTGATGATGACGATGATGAGAAATTATTGTTTTTTCGTCCAACAACTTCTACAACACGCAATCTAATAATGTAAAATAACTAATTTTAATTCTAATATCTTTGACAATATCTTATCAATATATATTAACCAGTACATACTTGTCTTTTGTTTTTGCTTTTGCATCATTTTTTGCTTTCCTTTTTAATTTATTTCTTTCCCTGGCGCTTAAGCCAGACATTTCATCCGGTAACGTAATTGGTTGCGCTTGTTGCTGCTGCTGTTGTAAATGAATGTTTAATTCAATTTTTTGTGATGTTGATTGTTTTGTTTTTGATGATGATGATGATGGGTTGTTGATTTCTCCACTTATATCAATATCATCAAATATATCGACTTTATATTTTTATATGAAGAATCACTTAATTAACTTTACCGCGATAATTATCGTAATCTTGATAATGATCATGATTAACAATAACTTACCATCCATGAATTCACCACCCAAACCTAATCTTTCTTTAAGATTTTTATGTTGGAATGCTAAACGTTGTGCAGGATCCAAATCACTTAAATCGAGATCATATTCCTAATACAATCAATATCCACACAATTAATAATATCTCATATATATGTATGTATGTATATAAATATGAAAAAATTTAATTGATTTAAAAATACCTTTCCTGCAGAGCCTAATAAAGTTTTACCATTTTGTATCACATTCGAAATATCAAAATTATCAAATGAATATTTGTTATCATTTAATGGTTGTGATTTATTATTATTATCATCATTTTCGCCTAAACCAAATCAATAAAAAAATATTATTATTATTTGTATTATCTGCGAAAAATCTCTTAAAAAAAACAAATAAATAAACATAAAACGAATCATACTTTCAATTGGATTCCAATGCGGAACATTTTTAGCAATTGCTTCAATTGCTTGACCGGCTGCAAGACGTGTATCCCATTCTTTACTACTTAAATGAACAATAACCTTTATATAAAAAAGTCGATTAACAGTTGATTTTAAATAAATATTTATTTTTGAATATGGATTATTATTTAATTATACTTACCCTTGACAAAAGATTATGTAATTCACTGGGGTGTTGTTTTTGAATTTCACCTAATTGTTGAGCAGCAGTTGACCGAATGGCAGGTGTTGATCCAGTATCTAATAGTAAAACCAGACGATCTAATCTTTTAGTTTTTAGATTACAAGGGAGTAAGAGAAATGGTGGAAGGAGAGGATAAGAAGAGGAGAGAAATAAGTGTAATTCGATTAATTAATTACAATTAGTATTATTTAATTTGTATATAATAATCACCTGGTTGCCATTATTTTTCGATTGATTTATTGATTGGGTAGGGTAAAGATTGACAAACACGATGATGATTTTTTTTTTGAAAATTTAACGTGAAAGTAAATTGATTGGTTGATTAGAAAAATAATGAAAAATTTTTTTGAAAAAATATTTTTTTTTGTAAATTGTTTTTTTTTTAAATAGAAAAAAAATAAAGATAAAATGCGTTAATAATAAATTATCGATGTGTGTGTTTTTTAAGTGTGTAGATGGGTGCAAATTTATTATTATATAAAAAAATGTTAAATAATCATCATAATTATTTATTATTTTTTTTTTGTTAATAATAATTTTTGCAAGTGGGGGAATTTTTTGTCAATATTTATATATATATTTATAAATTTATAAATCATTTTATGATCGACAAATTCATGTATTTATAAAAGATGATAGATTTGTCACACAATAATGAAATGGATATTACAAATATGTTTGGTGTAACGTAATAAATATTTTTTTACAATTCTCACATAATCCTTTTAAAAATGGCCCTGAAAAGTATATATTTATAGGGCAAATAATTTAGGCACCCCATTCATTACGTAGTAATTTTAATTCAAATTTATTAATTTTAGTAAAACAATCTTTTAAAAATTAAAATCTATTAATTAAATATAAAAATGTTCTTTTAAGCAAGAACAAAACTCATTGTATACATTATTACCATTATTATTATTATTATTAATTATTACTATTATTAAATTGTTTATTTAATAATTATAATGAAGAGATGTTAGCTGGATATTGTTCTTTACCATCCTCGACTACCAAAGTTGGTTCTCCAATTCTTTTAGTATTTCCAGTACAAGTACGTTTTCTTCTTGATGATGGGGAAGCTGAAGTTGATGATAAGAGTCCATGGTTGTCACAATTAAGATTAAGATCGTCAACTTGTGCATTGAAAGGAGCTGATCCGCCGTTACTATTAATTTGAACATTCAAATCCTGAGTGATATCTTGAACTTCGTTTCCACATTTATCAAATACTTTAAAAGTGTAATTGTGACCTGGTTGAAACCCACTAGAGAATTGACCAACGAATCTTGTTGAACCACATTCATTTTGTGATAACACTACTATACCCACGAATGTACCAGTGAATATGGCTTGGGCAAGAGCACAAGGACATTGTGGTGGTGGGTCGGAAGTACGTTTAAATAATGATCTTTTATTATATGGACATGTGTTTGTTCTTTTATTTAACTTAGACGGAGAGTTTTGTGCTGTTGATGAAGCAGAAACTGTGGTAGTACTTAGAAGAGTGGTGGCGACGATGATGAAAAATAAAACATAAATAAATAATTTTGAAATGAAATTTTTATTCATATTTAAATATTAATCGTAAAGTTAGATGATGAATATTTGTTATGTATTTTTAAATAATTAAAAAATTAAATTATTATTAGTCCTTTTTTTTTTTTTAATTAATAAAATTGAGAGAATTTATGTTAATTAATATCGAAAATTTATTTGTGATAATTTTTCGACGAAAAGGAAAGCGAGTAAATGAAACACCTATTTATATAAAAAAATTTTTTTTTTCTATTTTTTGATTTTCTTATTTTAGTACATTTTATTTTATTTTCGGGTACACGACACATAAATAAACGACAAAGAAAATATTAATAGCTTATTGAAACAATTTGCTCAATGTAAAATATTGATATAAACAATTACTTGCATTAAGATTTCGCTCCTTTCTTAACTCACTCCCTTGCTCCCGTAATTAAAAGATTGTCATTGTGAATATTATTTTGTTTTACTAATCTATTTTTTTGCGAATCCCGAAACGCAGACACCTCCCAACCAATCAAATCAATTATCTATTAATAAATAGGCACTATACTATTTTTAAAAGGACAAAAAAAATTTATAGTTAGATTAATTATTTATGGAATGCTCGGTATATATACAACAAATATACACACATCCATTTATTTATTTTACAAAAATCAAAAAAAAACAAGAAATTTGTCGTTTTTGGATTTTTAATATTGTATCCAAGCTTATGTTATCATCTCCCATACACTTTCTTTCACTTATGTTCTCTCTTCCTATTTATTTGCACACGCAAAACCACAAAAATGATCAAATACTTTAAGAATTAAAGTTTGCAATAATAAATACATTAATGGATCAAATGATTTTCAGTAATCTTCATACATCTAATATTAGTTATCATTTTAAAATAATAATTTAATATGCAGGAGTAAATTAAATTGATGTATACTTCATCCAATACCTTTGAATCAAAGAAATTATTGTATTTGTTAAAAACACTTTACATTGCCTCATGCAGTTTTTAAATGGCTTGGGATACTATTACGATTTGGAGTTCTTCTAAGCCACACTAGCAACGCATATATATTAATATTAATTAATTAATTGATTGACATATTTGATCATAAAATTAATTAATTAAATATTTCATATACATATTTCATAATCGAAAAACTAATATTAATAATTATATAATCGAATAATATTCCCACATCTTTCTTTATATGCAAATTTTTTATTCTTAAAAAATTATTTGATTAATTATATTTTCATAGTATTCTACATCACTTTTATATTCGCTAATAATAATATAATATAATAATAATTAGGAAAAAAAAGTGTTTGTAAATAAGCCAGCGAGAGAAAAAAATAATAAATAAATAATACCTTCTAATATTTATACAATTTCCATCAATATTCTTGATTACTTTTGACAGGTTTGAAATTATCTCATTATCTAATTCATCTTCTATGCTAGAACTATAAATATCCAACCATCTCAATTGATACTCGATATTTTCCATTAAAGCCATTAAATAATCCATTGTGAAGTTTCTAAATAAAGGAAATCCCAAATATTTTAACTTTACATTTTTACTCCCCTCTTTCTCATCGTCAACTCTTCTTTTGATATTTTCTAAAAATAGTTTGAACGATTGCAATGTAAATGTACATTTAATATTTAACTTGAAAACTTGAAGATTTATTGGTATCGATGATCCAATTTCTGCTAAACAATCCGATAAATCTATAACATTTGAAGCGAAGGTATTAGAAAATGACGATAACGATGATGAGCTAGTTGTTCTAATTGTTGATATACTTGTCATAGTTGTTGCTGTAGAAGAAGAAGAAGAAGAACTTGATGGTGGTGATGTTGTTGATGATGATGATGTTGTTGTTGTTGTTGTTGTTCTAGAAGACGATCTATCGTAAACATTATTACTGTTTCTATTGCTGTAAAAAATATGATTAACACTACGTATATAATCTAATTCGTTACCAATCGAATCTACGATTTCGAAATGTTTTAAATTTTTACAAGATTCGAAAAATGACGAAATTTTTGTTGACTCAACGTTTATATTTACAAATGTTAGTAAATACTCGAGATTTTTATTATGCTTGCCACAAAATTCCAATAAACTTTTTTTATGTAATAATAAACTTTCTATGCCAATTAATTTTAACTTTATTAGTTTTTTATTCGAATTTTTCAAAATATATTTTAACGTCTCAATTGGTATTGATGAATAGTGGATCATTAAAGATTCCAAAGAATTAAAAAATTGCCCATAAAATTGGGAAGAGGAAGACGACAACGGCGGTGATGATGAACTTTTTTCTTTTTGCTCTACCACTACATCTTCATTTTCTTTAGCAAAATTATAACATCTAACAATTTCTAAGCCTTTTAAATTTTGTAATTCTCCAAAAATGATTAAAGGAAATTCGCCAAAGAAATTCACATCGTAAAGATTTAAATAGGTCAGTAAACTATAACTGCCTAAAGTAATACCTTTATTATTATTATCATTATCACTATCACTATTGCCAATATTAACATCGTCACTTAATTGTCGTTGTTGTCTTTGTAAAGAATTAAAAATGGGGCTTAAATCTAAAGCAAATGAACTATCGTTTCTACAACAATCACAAATCAATTTATTCTCGATTGATAATTCCAAAAGTTGATCTTGCGATTGGATAAATTTTGTGATATCGTCTACGGTAGTTGAGTGTAACGGATATTCAAAATGATTCAACGATAATCGTAGGACACGAAGATTTCGTATAACATGTGATGCTTTCAAGTATAATCCTGCTCTGTATTCACCCAAACCAGTAAGTTCTCTTAAATTCATAATGTTAACATTAGATGAAACCAAATCAAATACATTAGTTGTGGTTTTGTTTTCTGAATTTAATATAATATGATTCAGATTTAAAGAATATGTCAAAATATTAGATAACAATATATCAAACAGTGACTTTTCTTTAATCGTCGCTTTCATTTGATGATTAGTAATTCCTCCTTCCATCACTGATAACCAATCGCCAACAGCTTCCACAACATTACCAATAACCAATGATCTCATAAATGTGATGTAATCAAATAATGTATTACCATCGTCGATGTTAGTTGTTTGTAATTTTAGTTTATCTTCTTTAGAGAAGTTTGTGATATAGGCATCTAATAATTTTTTTGTCTGTTTAGGTTGTAATCTTGTGAAAAATGGGTCGCTCCACAGGTAAGATATTCCCACCACACACCATTGTCTATTCGTTAATACACATGAATGTAAAGTTCTTCTTCTTATCAAATAATTTTCTTCTTCCCTCATAATTATTTCACATATATTTCTTAAACACAAATCACCAAGTACTAAATATTTCATTCTATTATATATATTATAACGAAGAAAAATATTAAAAATAATTTTTATTTAACGGTTGGTATATATATAGTAGAATTAGGAAAATATTTATATTTTTTGAAAATTTTTTTTTTCGATAATATTTCTTTTTTTTATAAACAAATAAGATAATATAAATGGTGATTTATTGGTAATGAATGAGTTGAATGAAAATAGTGAATATATTTTTGGTGTTTTGATAGATCGCTTCGTTTAAAAAATTACCAATAATATAAATAATGTGTAAACAATTTATCGTGTCATTATCAACTTTAATCAGCTGTGGCGTGATATATATAAAGTCAAGTTATGTATAATGATATCATATCATACATATTTATACAATCTATTTGATCACACCATCTTAACAACAGCCGATTTAGGGTTCGAATCACCTCCGATTTCTTTTAAAATAAGAAAAAAATTATATTTAGGTTTATGTTTATACTCATGATGCTTTATTTATCAATCACTAAAATTTTTTTTGGATCATTGAATAACGAATGGCACGAAAGAAAGAAAGACCAGCCTAGACCTTTAAAATCAGTTTTTTTGTATTAATTTCATAAATGAAGATGAAAAGAAGGAAAAACGACACAAAAATCAACAATAAGAAGGAATCGTTATCATGCATAAGAAATAAGATGCAGGACAAGTTTTCCTTTTTCTTATTTGAAAATGTTTTCGCGCATAAAAAATTTTACATAAAAAGAAGGATTCAATAATGATGTTATATTTTGTTTGGGAAACAAATATAAATATTAGCAACTCCGAAATTAAATTCGACACAACAACATTTTTCACTCAATGAAAACAACGAAAACGATATAACAATTTATTTTATTTATATACACACACGCAAGAACGTCGTTGTTAAAGAGGAATAATATGTACTATAAAGCCTTACTTTAAAAAGAACAAATTATGTCATGAACCTGGAACTAATATAAAAAGGAAACCAATTAATGTAGATTTTTTAATTCCGGAAAAAACTCCATTTATCGTGCCAATGCCGTCATTTGTGGGACTGCTTTTTTTCCTCTTTTATTTTTTTTTACGTCATAAAAAAATTGCCAAACATGTACAAAAAAAAACAATGTAAATAACTTGTTACACAAAAATACATCTCTCGTTCATTATAATAATAAAAAGTGGTGTGAATTGAAAAAAAAATTAATATGTATATATTTGTTTATTTATTAATTAACACATGCATGCACACATTATGTATCATGAAATTGTAAATTTTATTTATTCAAACTGCAACACAAGTATATGCAATCAAGATTCTTGTATTTTGAAAAAAGTATTTGAAAATATATTAATTTGAAAAAAATTTGGACGAATGGAAAATCAAGGACAAAAAATAATTTATCAATTTAAGAGAACACACAAATCAATTTCTCGTCATAAGATCAATCCAAGAAAACAAAAAAACTGACGAAAATGTTGTGGACATTGCGGATCTACAGGGGGTGAAGTGTTGCTCACAAATTGTTTTGATCAACACGGAATTTTATGTGAAAAAAAATCACGCTTTCATGCCTGATCTAATCAATTGTTACTTGAATCATAAAAAATAACAAATATATGAAAAACCATTATTCTTCGATGTATTTTTTTGCTAGGGTAAACAAATATCATTAAGTGATAATCTCAACATGAAGTAGGACTACTAGTTCTATAAGTCCTATATTTCCTATATTATAATAATAATAAATTAAGAAATTGGATAACATGCACAACTTCAATCTTTGGAGTTAATTTTTTTTACAATGAAACATTTTATCTAAATTGATATAATAATATATATATATAATGTATGAAATAGAGAGTTATATCAAACAAATTTATTAACTTGGTGATATTTATTTAATATTTTCAAACAAAAATGAATTCACATAACAGACTCCTTTCATTAACAAAATGGAAATAATGTTAGTTGGTTTTTTTTGGTAATTATTTTTAAAAGATTAGTTTTCATTATTACTAATTTTCTATTATATATATTAAAAATGTAATGATTAAATTAAAAGATATTTATTTATTATTGACATTAGCAAGATCTGATGAAGATGTTATTAATATGTAATATATATAAGTTAAAAGAAAAGAAAATTTATTTATACATACATACATATATATTATATATATATATATATATATATATAAATAATAAATAAAAATCTACCTTTCAGTATATTGCTTTGCAAGCTTGCCTTTGATACTTTAATTCTATCAAATCCACCTATATAACAATTGAATAATTTATACAAACTGCTTTGCAACTTTAATTCAATCAACTTGCCTATATAGAAGTGGAAGATTTTTTCTAGTTACGCACACAGCCTTTGAATCTAACTAAAATGGAACATTTTGTGATTTTTATTAATTATTATTATCTTATATGGGGCATGCTGCAACAAAACCGGACAAAGTGAACATTGGTATTACCAAGAATTTCAGGGATCAAAATTTGTAATGAGATTATTATTATTAAAAATCTCCCATTTGTTTGTTATCTTTGTTTTTTTCCTTAATATTAAGTGATATATAGAATTACTCCTACAGTCAACCCCCTCTAAGTGCACGCTTATTCATTCCCGAGCTTGGTAAATAGAGATAAGTGCACACCCCCTCTCCCCTGCACTACACGGTCATTTTTCATCCCCAACTATATAAAACTCCCTCTCTAAGTGCACACCTGTGACCTCCATGTGATCGTTGTCCAGTAAAAATTGTGCTTCCTTTGTTATGTTAACAAAAAAAAATGGATAAAGAATTGATTTTTTGTAAGAGATGATAAAGAATTAAATTTTATACTTAGTAAATGATGATAAAGAATAAAGAATAAGAATTGAATTTATTATTAGTAAGAGATGATAAAGAATTATTTTGTAACAGGCGGGTAAAAAATTGTTCATTTTTATTAAGTGACAAGAAACTAAAGAATTCTTTCTTTTTAATAGATACAAAGGTTATTAGAACAAAGAACAAAGAAAGCAGACAGAGAAGCTTATGTAGTTGAAATTATTATAAATAAGTCATGAATCAAGAATTTTAATAACTAAACTCTTGTAACAAATTTTAAAAAATAAAAACTTTTATTATAAATTAACCTATATATTCTTACATATCCAACCATCTAATTTTTGCACTCACACACACTTATCTCATTAAAACATTAAAACATTTTATTCTTTTATTGCTTCTAAATAAAATGCCTCCAAAAAGTAAAGTAACTTTATCTAATTCTCAAAGATATGAATTTTGTTTATTTGCTGGCAATAACAAATTAACTAGAAAAGAATATGTTGATTGGATTGAACAAAAATGGGGAATTAAAGTGGTTGAAACAACTATAACAAGAATTCTGCAAAAAAAAGAAGAAATACTTAATGCTGAAGTTACTAATCCAGATGCCAAAAGACTTAAAATCTAACAGTTCCTGAACTTGAACTTGCTCTTAAGGAGTTTATTTTAATTTATCAAGACAGAGTAATCTTAAGCGATGCTATTTTACTTGAAAAAGCCAAGAAAATAGCAAATGGATTGGGGGTACCAGAAGGAACATTGGCTTTCTCTTCTGAATGGCTCCATAGATTTAAAAAACGGAATGGGATTCAAGTACAAAAGCTTCAAGGAGAGGCATCATCAGCTGATATAAATTCAATTACTGAAGCCTTACCATTATTGAAAAATATGTGTAGTAGTTATCCACCTGGAAGAATATACAACATGGACAAAACAGGTCTTTTTTATAGATTAGAACCAGATGGAACATTAGCCACACAAAGACTTTCTGGATGTAAAAAGAATAAAGAAAGACTTTCAATTGCCTTATGTGCTAATTCAGATGGATCACATAAATTGGATCCATTAATAATCAGAAAATTTAAAAAACCACAATGCTTTATTAATGTTGACCTTAGTAACTTATCAATGACATATTGTAATAATACAAAGGCTTGGATGTTATCTACTGTTTTTCAAGATTGGCTCCAAGGATTCAACAGAGAGGTTGCTTCAAAATATGGCAACCAGCATGTATTATTGCTTCTTGATAATTGTCCAAGTCACAAAATAGATGGTTTGGTTCTTTCAAATGTTGATGTCCATTTTCTCCCCCCAAACATTACTTCAAAAATCCAGCCAATGGATGTGGTATCATTATGTCTTTTAAAAAACACTATTGCCATTTACATATTAACTGGATTCTAAATCAAGTTGAAGCAGGAAATGATATAAAAAATTTAAAAATGGATGTATTACAGGCAATAAAATTTATTATTAAAAGTTGGAAGTAAGTGTCATCACAAACCATTTATAATTGCTGGCATCATACTGAAATTCTTCCAGGCTGAATTAATGTTAATTTGTCTAATTTCTCTGATGATATTAACGATCCAACAACAAACCAACTTTCTCAGGCAGTTGCTGCTCTCAATCTAAATGATGCAATACCTATTCAAGAATATTTGAATAATCCAGAAGAAAATTTTGTGTGAAGTCCCTGATGATATAATATTATTGAGGCTCTTGTGGAAATGTATAAACAGCAACCAGAAATAGATACCAATGATTTCAAAGAAGATGAAAAAGATGATAGTGTCAAGCAAGTATTGATAAGTACTAGTGAAGCTTCAAAAAGCTTGGAAATTGTCTACATTTTTATTACAAGAAAATTCTAGTCAACAAATGAAACTGGTTAATTCTCTTGATAGATATATTAATTTAAAAACAATAAATGCAATGAGACAAAGTACTTTAGAATCTTATCTTAATCAATAACTATATAAATTTTTTTTTTTTGGTGATAATAACATAACATTGTAATTGATTAATTATAATAATTATAATAAATACATTAATAAATTTAAAAATTTTTTTTATTCTTATTGGTATCACGTGCAACCAATGAAATGCTT